TTTCTATGGTAACCTAACAAAAATCCCTCCCAATGAAAAAGGTTGAACTCTAGAATGTGCTCAAATTTTTGGAAGCAGTGTCCAAAACAATTCCAATATGCATGGGGCTTCAAAGGACTGATCAATTCTCTAAAAACTGGAAAATTACCTTTTAATAGAGATTTGCATTTCACCTGCTGAGACTTCCATAACAGAAGCACCCAAAGAAAAATGGGCTTGATTACTATGACAGTGCATTTTCAGCAGCAATTAAAACACCACGGCCTCTTCAGATGACAGCAGGAAAATGAGATTCTCCCTTCAGAAAAACCACAGTGAAACCAAAGGACAGACAGAAATTTCAGGGAAATCTAATTTTATACTCCAGTGTGTGAAATACGGTTATTTATAGGGGGCGTGATGGCAGTGGTGAGAATGACATCAAGGTGACACAATGCTGAGGAATAATTCAAAAAAACCTGACTGGATGTTTGGGCAAAACACTCTTGTTTTCAGTAATTCTTCCAATCAGCCTGGTGTGAACTTCTGTGAAAATTTTCAGAGGCTTTCTGACACTAAAAGCATATATTTTTTGTTTGCAATGGGATATATAAACTATCTCTTTATAAAAAGAAATAAATATCAAAATTATTCCTTGTTTTTTTCAGGGAAAATAGTCTTCCTCTTGCCCCTACCCTCCTGTAACTCTATAATAAGAAGCTCTTGTGTCTGTTCTACCTCATCTGTGATAACTATTTAATGGGGTGAGAACAAAAAAATGGGACTCTAATGTAGGGGGCCTTCTTCCTAGGCATGTAGTCAGATGCCAGCTTCTGCTTCAGTAAAGTCAAATAAGTTCTCTCAGTGCTTCCACCTTTGTTCCAGTCAGCTACTGGAATTGTTTCTAATTGCTCCCCTCTTGGTTTTAGAAGGTGTGGTGAGTACAGCAGTTTGTTCATAATTGCCCTCCATTTCAGTGTCTGCCCACTAACACTCTGCCTGCAGATGAAGTTTCTCCTATTGCCAAAAGAGCTGTGGGCCTCCTGCTACGGATCCTGGCTCCCTTTAGGGGTGCTTTGACACACAAGAGAAAAACATTAATAACAACTAGATAATACTGGGTTTATTTATAAGAATATTTTCCTCAAAAATAATCCACTTTGTGTGCTCTGAGACAGCATCTCCTGTTCTTCTGTACCAGTCCATAGCCTTTGACAAGGTTAGACAAGATTTCATTATTAACTGATCATTCCCACTTCTCGTCTGGAAAAGGGTAGTGGATAATAAAAGTAAACTAACTACATGAAAAGAAGTTTTAAAATCATGGAAAATAATATCTGAATAAGTTGGGTTTACTCCATCTTAACCAATTCTTAATTACATTTTATTAATTCAGGTTATTTCACTTTCTGATGTGAAAAATGTCTCGCATTCTTCTGCTGCTTGCAGCATTTTAACATCACTGTGAGACTTGTTGGTCGTACATTAGGGTAGTGGAAGTACTTGCTGACATGCAAAACCATGCTCTGTATGTGCTCTGGAGGATGTCTGCTTTAGAAGAGGCAGTGAGGATGAGACAATGATACATAATTGCAGCTCGGTTTTTTTGGTTGTCAAGTTTTAGTGCCTCCTTTTAGGCCTATTGTTAGAGTTTTAATAGATTTCATTGGAAGATTACAGACTGGTGCAACAGCTTTTTGATCAAAAACTGTCTTTACTTGTTTGGAATGGAATCCAGGGCTTAAACAGGCAAAAGAAAAACTCAAACTCAAATTCCAAGACAAGTCCAGAAAATCATGCAATTCTGCAGCTATCACACTTTCAGACTTTAAAATGATAAAGACCACACAAATAGTTTCATGAAAGATCTTCAAGCAAAGATTAATTTTTTTCTCTTTGTAGAACTGGAATTTCTTCATCTTAATGAAATCCTTGTCTATGGCACTGGTCTTTTTCATTTCCTCCCATAAAACAAAAAAATTACCTCCCTTTTTTTTCCAGCTGTAGTCTACTCTGCAAGTACTAACAAATGCACATGCTTATTGAACTCCTACCAAAGTTAAAAACCCAACTTTGAGCTGCTGTAGCCCTGGAATCTGAGGTGAAGGCAAGAAGGGAAGACTGCATCCAGGGGGGCTGCTTGCAGCTGTGCTGGAGTTGTCCAGCAAAACAGGGAAAATAATCTTTTGTTAATACAAAATATGAAGCCACTCCTTTCAATGTTGTGTTCAATCTGAACTTCTCTAACAGTTGTACAAAATGAAGTTTTTATACATACACCAAAAATTCAGATGGGAGCATGGAGCAATTTGGTGGTTTTTTTTCTATCTGACCTCAGTAATTAACAGGTGGACAACATCTGACTTTTGTATATTTTAAAAAATCTAGAAATGTTTAGTCTATTGGTGTAGAGTCTTGAGAAAAAAATCCCCTCATTTTCAAAAGAGGTTTCTGCCTGAAATTTTGATGCTTCTGCATATGTGTTGTTTTGGGGTTAGCAGAGCAATTTAGCTTAGAGCTGCCAATTGAAACATGAAGTGTTTAGCAAAAAATGTGCATCTCTGGTCTGACATGGTTTGCAGAGAAGTGTCTGCAGTCTGTTTTGTCGTGGTATTTAGATTCATATTCTACTTCTTTCCTCAGCGAGTCCAATTTTGCTTTCACTGTTAAAACTGGCATTGAGTTAACAATATACAGCCTGGTCTGGACAAGAAGCACAGGTTAATTTGGACTGGAGGTAGCTGGAAGTCAAGAGATGATTCATAGAATTGTGTAGGTAAAACCCCTGACCATGGGGAGGATACATATTTTCATTTGGTGCAAAAAAGCTGAATGTTTCTAAATGTTTTATAAATATTTGGGACTTCTGGTGTATTTTGCAAAACTGTTTGTAGAAACTCTCCACAACAGACACACCCAGATCACCAACCCTGTCTGCTGGACCCAGAGCCAGGAATCCTATGCTTTTCCTGCCTGTGCCCTAGTTTCTGATTAGTTTTAACTTCCTCTTTATTTTCCTTGTAAATCTCCCCAAACCTTTTTATCTGTGTCTTAATTAATTGATAATTTAGGACGTACCTGCCTCACAAAAAAAAAAAAAATCCAGCAAATGGATTAATTTTAAGTAGTTTTTTGATCCTCAGAACTCCTGGTTGCAACAATACCCAAGTGTGCCCACTTGGCTTTTACATGGGAGGAAATGCACCGAGCAGTGTGGCTCTGGCTGCAGGGATGTTGTTGGGTCCATCACTGCTGCTTCAGTGGGAATCCCTCTGCTCTGTTGTCTCTTTTGGTGCAGAGCTGGAGGCTGCTGGTCCTGCTGAGGGCGAGCTGTGTGGGCAAACACGGAAAGCTCACAGCAGGGCATGGCTGTGGGGAAGGGCTGAGGGCACCACAAGGCCTGGAGGGCTGCCAGGAAAAGGGAAGGGGCAGTTCGGATGGGGCAGCAGTGTGGTGATGTCCCCTCAGGCACAGAGCAGCAAGGCAGGAGTGCTGGGATGGGGAAGGAGAAGCCTGAATATCTTTAATGGAAAAATACTCTGTTCTTTCCAGCTAGCTCAATAGCTTCCCTTCGTTAACTTGGATCATTTGTTTCATCCCGTGTGATTTTGCAGATGAAGTGCCATACCTGGACTCCAGCTCAGTAAATCTCAAAGTTATCTCAGACTTATGGAACAAAATCATTTCTATATAAAGCAGCATTTTATGTGCTAACATAAATATGGAAAGCTGGGGAAGGAAAATATGAGTTCTGATACTTGATCTCCTTGAAATCCTACAACTGTGGCTGTGGTGTATTTCAAATAGCTGCCTTACTGAGGAAAAAAAAATGTCTTCTATTATTCAAACCCTTGCTACCTGAATTGAATTTATGACTGTCTAAATATGCTGTGTGGCTGAATTACAAGGCATACCTGGTGACTGTGGGAAGCAAGTAGCAGTGATATACAAGGTAAAGAATGATCAAAACCAGGAGCTGATGTGACCAGTGGACTGTAATGGATGTGAGTAGTTTGAGTGCTTGTCATCTGTCCACATGATCCCTAATGCTGGCAGCCTGTGGAAAGTGATGCGTGGGAAACTAGTGCAAAGTGCTGATTTATTTTATGCTAATGGGGAGAAGTCCATATTGTTCAAATTAAATCCTAAAGCAGAAACAAATCATCCAGCCAAAGCCCATCCTATGGAGTTTCATTGAAACAGTTAGTGGTCTTTTTCATGACCTCAAAGTAAAAATTAAACAATGTTAGGGGCTGCTGTTTTCAAGTGCTTCTGGCTGCTGAAAGCAGCTGAGATTCTCCTACAGATGGCTATTTAAGTTAAAAGCCAAATGGGGGGATCACAGCAATTAGTGTGCATTGGCTTCTAACTGCACCAGAGTGAATAATGTGGGAGAAGGGAGCCAGGACTCTGCCTGGGCCTATGCTTTTTCCCACCAGAGGCTGAGTACCAGCAGTTCTTCTCAATTAAAAAAAAAAATAAAAATAGAGAGCTGGGGGAATTTCTTGCTGCTGCTTCACTTGAACAAAATAAAAGAGATTTGGAACAAAATAAAAGAGATTATGCAAAGATGGACTAAAGTGGGAGTGGGAGGAAAGAAAAAAAGTATTTCAAAGAGAAGAACAGCCCACTTCAGGGCTCTCCAACTGGATCTGTAGTACAATGTTTCTCCTACTTTTGCCATAAACTGCCTCCCCAGAGGCTCACTGCAAGGTTTGTTGCTCTCCCAGGCTTTTTTTTTTTTTTAATGTAGCCTCAGGCCTAAAAAAGTGTAATGGGACTTCAGCATTTTTATTTAAAAAGAACTGAAGGGAGAAATGATTTGTCAGCTTCGAGATTTAGAATTTCCTGAGGAAAAACAGAGGGTCAGAAGGCTTATGAGTTAATATTTTCTTTTACTTATTTGTGCAAGAGATACAAAACTGTATAATAGTATAACTCCCATTTCACTAAAATTCTTACAAGATTGTCCTGTACTTTTACCCTCACTCCTGAACGTCCCTGAATGTTCATTTTTCCAGAAGTTTCGAGCTGTCCACTGGAATGACTTGGAGCAGTGAGATGACGTTGGAAGATACTGATCAGAGAACTGGTCTCAGATTTCAAGACAGAAAATGTCTCTGGAGAATGGTGAAGAACAAAACCAGCATTTTTTCCTTCAGGTCTTTTTCTTAGGGTGAATGGAAAACAATGGCAACATGTTTGTGTGGCATGGTCTTTGTTGAAGCAGACACTCAGCTTTTGCCTCTCCCAGATGGAGTGATATAAATGTGATTGCCTTATGCTCTTTCCTGGCTTGTCATTACCACCTTGGGACTAGTAATCTGTAAATTAGAATTTATTCTGTTGGTGCTCCAGTGAAAAGGTTTATTGGTGGAAAAATTAAAAATAGGGATTGCTTTCTACACTGCTATTATAGCCTCCTTGAAAATGAGGAATGAGGAGCCCACAGCTAATAAATCCAGAAGAGGAAGGCTCCTAATATTGTGTGAAGGGTGGCTAGGGGCCATTGCTCAGGGATCTTTGAGTGGTCATGGTAATGGGGCAGATTCCTGAGGACTGGCAGCCTGCAATGATTTATGATAAGCCAACCTTCAGCAACACATCAGCCTTTTCCCCTGTAATGTCTGGCTTGGTGGAGGAGAGCAGAGCAGCGGATGTTGTTTACCTCAACCACAGCAAGACCCTTGCCTCTGTCTCCCAAACCATCCTTGTGGATGAGCTGATGAAATACAGACTGAGAAATGGGGTGGAGAACCAGCTGAGGTTGGTTGGGAGCAGCAGCTCTGGGTCCAGCTGGAAGCCAGGGGGAACCCCAGGGATCAATTCTGGGGCTGTGTCAGCGCAGAATTGAAAATGTGAAATGTGTCCTGCCCCTTGATGGCATCTGACAACTCTGTGTCCCTACACAAGGGTGGTGCAAGGGGACAGAAACTGGATTGATGCCCAGGGCACAGCCGAGCTACCTCAGGCTTTAACAGCACAGATCATTTTGAGTCAAGGTTGCTGGGGTCACAGGGGGAAGCAACGTTTGTGCAGCAGAAAGTCTCAAGCTGATTGTAAACCCAGAGAATAGAATAAATGGATGCCAGCCAGCTGTGGGAGCTGGTGACAAAGACAAGAGGCTGTGGAGCTGACCCTTGACACTGGCAGTCGCAGTTGCCTGGCACAAAACCTCCCCTGTTGCTGCAAGAGAGAGACTGAGAACAACTGCTGGTGCCAGCAGGGGTCTGGGGAGCAGCCAAGCCGAGGCGCATTTCCATCGGAATTTATTTACTCACAGATCAGATGAGATCCAAACCAGGGAGCTCAGCGTGGCAGTGGGCACTGGAACTGAGGGGCTTGCACCACTTCATGCAGCAGAGGAGGCTGTTTGAGAGCATGGCTGCTTCTAGGGGCAAGAACAGCATCACAAACCAGCTTCTTGTAGTGCTTGGAACCAAGGGGATGGTTCGTTGCTCTCAGGACAATCCAAGGTGCAATCTCAGCCCACCTGCTTGTCTCTAGATTGGAATGTTGGTGAATGAAGGGCCAGCCACCTTCTCTAGTATGTTTTGGTAAAGAATTACAGCACCTTGACCCAACCATTTCTTTGAATAATTCTGGGAATTGTCTTCATTTAGGATAACATATGCTTTTTTTAATATTAAAAAACATCCCATGTGACACAGTGTTCACAGAACAGTGTAGTGAAGTGTTTGCCCAAATTCTGAAAATAGGGGAGTCCCTGAGGTGGACAGTTTTGAGCAGGAATTTTACATACACATTTTTTGGACCAGAAATTATTCTCTATGGTGCAAAACACAGACAGACACACAGACACATCCCCCAGTCCCCCACCCCTTCTTTTTCCTAGGAGTGCAAACTCCAGTGTCTGTACAAATACGCCAATAAACATACAGAGAATACAGGGTTAAATAACCCTTTCTGCAACTTGGTGTTTGGGAGTACTGAGCATCTTCTGTGTTAGCACTGAAGCTCTCTTTTAATGCAATTTGGGATTGAAATTCAGATGAATGCTACAAAAAAGATAATTCAGTGATGAATTAAAATCAGCTATGCTTGTAACACCAGTTGTTTCTAAATGAGATTGAGGTGTTTGTGTATATACAGGCAGTGTGTTGCCTATGAGATGAGTTGTAGAGATTAACAGTTCCTTATGCTAAGAGGGTGTTGGAGGGAATTTTTGATTTGAAATGTAGATCCTGTTTTGATATAGGTATATATACCACATGGACTATCAGAAATCTGCAGGGAGAATAGTGAAATAATATTGACTTCCATTATGTCTGTTATAACTGCAGAAAGCAAATCTACAACGTTACACATCATCTGTGAAGGTGATCCAGTGGGTCTGTAAAACTTTTGAAAAATACTAAATACAACAAAGCAAGTATAAATTATAAATCCAATAATAATGTATTTACATATTCTTTTTATTTTTGCAGTAGTACATAGAAAGGAGAGAAACAGCTGATAAACAATATATTTTTAAATTATTTTATTAAAATAAAATCAATATTTATCTTAAGATAAAGTTAAATGAAGTCATGGGATGACACATTCAGCAATGCACACGGAATCCATTTATTAACCCTGAAGAAGGAAGCCGTTGCAGAAGGAAGTTAACACAACCCACACTGGAGGGCAGTGTTGGCTGCCAGAATTACTGTCAATTCCTGTTAACCCAGAAGGGTTTGTGCAGCCTGCATTTTGGAAAGGCTGGGTGTCCCATTAGGGGCTTCTGTGTTTTGGAAAGTTAAAAGATACAGGCATCTGCCTCACATACTCAATCATATGTAATTTTTTTTTTCTTTTTCAGGAGGAACTTTGGTGTGAGTATTGTCTTTATCCATGGCAGTATGTGAAAGATTTTTGTGAAATGTGGCATAAACACAGTCATGGACTTCAGCCTATGTTTAACACAACTGATGTATGGAAAAAATAGCTGCCAGATGCAAATGATTTGGAAGAGCACTTTGATACAGGGGAAGAACAACACAGATTGCAACAACACGACCCCAGGTAAAATGAATAACCCTTATTTGTTCTAGCTGAAACAAGTTGTTCTGCTAAACATCAAATGTCTGCAAAACACCTGAAGGTAAATATCTTGGTATATAACCTCATGTCTAAAGGCCAATGTCAGCGTTTAGAAGAGGAAATAAAAATTCAAGAATATAAATGTCTTTATTAGAGAAAAATGTGCAGCTGAGAAGCAAATTGGTTTATTAAGCAAACATTATTGTGACAAAAGTAGTAACTCATACTAAAAAAAAAGAAAACAGTAACCAAAGAAACCAAAAGGGGAGTAAACATCTTGTTCTGTGGCTTTATCAGCTGATGACTGATGGTTGATTTCCTCCTTCCTAGACATGTCACACATGATTTGTACTTCTCAGCCCGCAAGTCAGAGGCAGGTGAAAGTCTCTGCTGAACATGTTGTACTTAGATATTGTCAGAAGCTCTCTTGCCTACCTCTACCAACAAACAGAAATTGGCATTTCCAGGAAATGGGCCAGCATAGCTTTGCAGTGTTTTTGTTACTTTTGTAAAGAGGGTGAGAAGGATATTCTCAGGAGCAGTAACACTTTTTCCTTCAAACATTTTGCATCACGGTGATACAGGAATGCACCCATTTACATATCAACCTGGCAGCCAGTGCTACTTACACCTTCCCACAGCTGTGATATTGATGGTTCATTTTCACCCTTGGTAGCATTTTGTGAAGGTGGCAGTGCCAATATCAATTTCCCTTAGCAGCAGGATCCTCTGTAAATAGGAGCAAGCAGAATCTGTCATAAATCAGGGGGGTTGGAGTTTTTTTAGCAACAATTTGCAAGATCATGACTTTTCTACCCTTCTCCCAGTCAAGAGTATTTCAAGACCTATCAAATGAGCCATGGAAAAATAGAGTGAAGGCTTTCTAAGTAGCACTTAATATTTTCTGATAATACACAGGATTTTTGGTAGCAGTTATAATGATAAAGAGGCTTTTAATATAGCTTTTTAGATCTATAATAGAGCTCAAGAGATTACCTTTCATGTTTCCATGTTTTTTGCTGCTTTTGGTGGGCATTGTAGTGTAAGACCTTAAAGATCTGTGTCCATCAGGAATGGACAGAGTGCACTGGTAGGTTAGTCATTGGTTTAGATGGAGATTCTCTCTTAACTTAGAAGACGTGGTCTCTGTCCTCCATGTATTAAACTGCATTTCAGGTGGCTGCTTATGCTCATTTGGAAGTCCTTTCTATCACCTCCACACAGACCCTGGTCCTAGCCTCAGACTGGATCTCTGATTTCTCTCTTCTCTGATCTTAATTCTTCAAATGCTTTTGCCATTGGAAAGCCCACTTTGACTTGTGAATGAAGATGAATTTCCTTACCAAAAGAAACTTGTGCTCACAACAGGAGCCCACATGTGAATCTCCTTACCAAGTTCATCCTTATCTCAGCACAAGCTCTGCCCCCTTCCCTGGGGCAGAAGGGACAGGTTCTCTTGGTCTTGGTGTAACCCAACTCTGCTGACATCTTGCTTATCTCTTTCCCAAGACCACTGACTTGGGAATAAAACACCTTTGATCCTGGGGTCTAATCAGGAAATATAAGGTTCTCTCACTGAATTAGGCCCAAAATTGGTCCGAATTGCTTTAAAACAGGTTAATCAACTGCCTTAAACTTGCTCTTGTTTCAGTCTTGGCTTTAGTTCATCTGAGCAGATACTCATCCATCTCCAAGGCCACTGACTTGGGAATAATACACCTTTGATCCTGGGGTCTGATCAGGAAATATAAGCTTCTTTCACTAAATTAGTCCCAAAATAGGTCTGAATTGCTTTAAAACGGGTTAATTATCTATCAATTGCCTTAACTTTGCCCTTGTTTCAGTCTTGGCTTTAGTTCATCTGAGCAGATACTCATCCATCAGAAACAGGACTCACCATTCCTAGCCTGCCATTCCCTCTTGTGCTCTTCCATGTGGGATCCAAATGCCCTTTTCTCAACAGTGGACATTCTGGGCTTAGCTGCTTGTATATCCTGCTGCTTTGTGTTGATGTGCCTTTGAAAATAACAAAATATAGTAAGGATTATTAGAAGACCTTTTAGGGGAATTCTTCTCCATTTCTATACAAGAAAACATTCACTTCAGATCCTAAGAGCAGGGAAATGTCATTCCAATGGAGTTAATTCAAATGGAGAACTAAGCTGAAAATGTTTTTAATCTGTTTTACTCTGCTGTGTCTTAGTGCCCCATTTGGATAATTAGGTACAGCTTCCTGAAGAAAATCAGGTGCAGTCATTAATGGCAATCTGGGTGTCTGCTGATTTCCAGAACAGGTGTAAAAAAGAATAAACTGAAGTTTTCAGTAAAGAGAGAACTTTGTTTTTAGATGAAATCAAGCTTTCTGGCTTGTACATACAGATGTTGTTTCCATATTGAAAAAGCTCTCCACTCCCTGTCCCTCTTTGTATGAAACAATCTGTAGTTTGCTTTAATTACTGTGTAATTTA